GGGTGAAATTCATTGAACACGTGAGTGTGCGATGCGGTGGGGCCTGTGTCGTGAAGGGGTGAGTGTGGAGGGCAGGCCCGCGGACTTGCTTCCCGCCGCCCTCCGGTGGCCCTCGTCCTCTCTCCTGGGCCCTCGTCTTCACATGGGGACAGCGTGGCGTTTATGCCCGTTTCCCTGCTGAGGACCGAACAGATTAATGGATCAAAGCCCGTCGCCCGGGGCCTGACCCGTAGCGGACGCCCGGTACGAGCAGCCGTGGTTTCTGATCAGGCGCAGGCGGCTTCGTGTCGCGCGGATCCAGCCAGGCCCCGCGAGGACGGTGACTCAGAGAAACAAAATAAACTTCGGAAGAATGGAAGCAGGTGCTGCCCTAAGCAGCTGGGTAGAAAGCCCGCCATGGGGCCGTTGCGGCACGCTTTCCGCGAGCTTCTGCTGGACGCGGCCACTGTGACCGCGTGTCCCTCGGGCAGGGGCACTGGGGGCGGGCCCGGTGCGCTGAGCGCTCCTGGACCCTGCTGCTCAGTCGTCCTGAGCTGTCGCATTAAAGGAAGAAGGGCAGAGGGCCCTGTTTCTGTATGAAGACAGAGAGAGGCTTCTGGAAGCCAGCGTGGCTGACGACAGCGTGAGCGGGGGGCCTGGGGCGCGTGCCTCCTCAGACGCAGTCCAGCCACACAGTTCCCATGCCCGCGTGGACCTTCTCCAGGCGGCCGCTTTCGGATTATTGTTGCGAGTTTGTGAGTCACTTCTCGTGAGCTGTGCACCTATTTTCTGGCTTCCTGTCTCAAACCACAAACACCTTTCAGCTAATTTTCATGCTTGGCCGCGTGGAAAGCGCTCCGGGACGATGGCTGATCCGTCCAGCGGTTTCAGTTGCTGACTCACATTTTCGGGAGACGCTTTGGCCCCAGTCAGATGCCTCGAGTATGTGTGCAGACGGGGCTGTGCGGTAAGCGTCCTTCGTGACGCCTGCCGTGCCCTGTGTGTCACGCGTGTCAGTTGATTTCCTTCTTGTATCTGCACAGACGAGGAAACCGAGGCTGAGTTAAGGAGCATGATTGTTGATGAGGCCGTTCGGGGGGTAGAAGCCACCAAGCCCCTGTGCCTCCCAGGGCCACGCGTGGCTTCCAGGATGCGGCCCCCTATCCAGAAAATAGGACACCTGCGGAAAGACGACAGCGCTGGGGCCACAGGGAAAGCTTGGCCCTCGGGCTTCCACGCCCCTGCCGCTGGGGACAGTGCGCGGCCAGGCTGCCTCCCGGTCTTTGCCAATAGCCGCGATCGTCTGTGTCCTTACGGACTGAACCAGCACGGGCCCCAATCTAGAAGGTCCCCCATCAGGCAGCGGGGCGCTGGCGGCCCGGCCGTGTCCCTTAGCTCCTGCCACTGATGTCTGTCATTCCCTCCACGGACCCCGGGAAGCTGCGCGTCGTACACCCGAGCTTCCTTCCCTCCGCCTCCGGCTCCTCAGACAGCTTCGCCGTGACTCACCCATCGCGTCGTCCCCGGGCAGATGGACAGGCTCGCGGGAGCCGAGACCGGGCTGTGTTCAAAGGCGGACAAGGACATTTTCTCCTGATTTTCTAAATTGCTTATTGCCGCTCCAGCGGGGGCCGGCTGCGGGGTGCGGGGAGCTGTCCAGGGGCAGGCGACCCCCCCAGGGAGCCGGGGCAGTGAGGACAGTGTTCCCGGAGCCCTGGCCGAGACTCGCTGGGAGGGTCCCTCCAAGACCCGTCGCACCCCCCCACCCCCCGACCGGAAGGAACAGCTGAGCCTTACCTGGCCTTGTGCACTGCGGCGGCCTGGACCCTGCTGACCCGACGTGGATGCCGCCTGCACACCTGCCCTCCCGCACACCTGCTCCCCTGCACTCACGCTCTCCCACACACCTGCCCCCCTGCACACCTGGCCCCCTGCACACCTGCCCTCCCGCACCCCTGCACCCCTGCACTCACACCCTCCCACACCCCTGCACACCTGCCC